ATACAATTAAACAATGGGAGAATGATTTGAACAGACATTTCTCCAAAGAAGATATACAAGTGGCTAAACATATGAAAAGATGCTTAACATCACTAATCATTAGAGAAATGCAAATTATAATTACAGTAACATACCATCTCATATTCGTTAAAATGGCTATTATAAAAGATAAAAATAAAAAAATAACAAGTGCTGGGAAGGATGTGGAAAAGTTGGAACCCTTATGCACTGTAGATGGGAATGTAAAATGGCATAGCCACAATGGAAAACAGTATGAAGGAGGTTTCTCAAAAAATTAAAAGTAGAGCCCTGGCTGGTGTGGTTCAGTGGACTGAATGCCAGACTGCAAACCAAAGGGTCGCGAGTTCAATCCTCAGTCAGAGCACATGCCTGGGTTGCAGGCCAGGTCCCCAGTCGGGGTATGCAAGAGGTAACCACACATTGATGTTTCTCTCCCTCGCTTTCTCCCTCCCTTCCCCTCTCTACAATAAATAAAATGTTTAAATTTTTTAAAAATTAATAATAGAAGTATCATATTGTGAGATAATAGAAAATATATACTCATTTCTGCCTCTGGTTCCTGGCACAGAGCTCCTAAAACTTGTAATTTTCTGGGTGCTAGAAGTGTCTTTTGTTTTATTGAGGCTGCTGGATGAGGGCTGGTCACCGGAAAAACCAAGCCATGGTTAGAAGCTTGTAATTTTCAGCTCCACTCATTTTCCAGAGAGGAGAGACGGGATGGAAAAGGAGGTTATAATTGATCATGCCTATGTAAAGAAGCCTCCATAAAATCCCAAGAGTACAGAGTTCAAGAAGCTTACAGGTGGGTGAACTCATCCACACCAGAAGGATAACTCACCCTACTCCACGGGACCAGAAGTTTCTGTGACTGGGACACTCCCAGCCCTGGCCCTGTGTATCTCTTCATCTGGCTGTTTACCTGTATCCTTTATCATGGCCTTAAATAAACTGGTAAATATACGTGTCTCCCTGAGTTCTGTGAGCTGCTCTAGCAAATTAATTAAAACCTGGGAGGGGAGTGATGGGAACTTCCAATGTGTAGCCAAACTGGACAGAAGTTGTGGGTGACCTAGGGACCTACTACTTTCCATTGGCATCTCCAGGTAGATGGCATCAGAATTGAGTTAAATTTTAAGACATCCAGCTGGTGTCAGAGAATTGCTTGGTGGGGAGAACGTCCACCCATTTGGTGACAAGAGTGTCAGAAGTGAAATATTCTGTGTAAGAGTAGACACAGGTGAAAGAAATACAGGGGAAAAAAGATATGTTTTTGATGCCTGTGTTTTGGTATCATAGTCTTTCCCTACACAGGAGGGAAAAACTAGAGTTTCTCTTTTACACAAATGATCCAGCAATCTCATGGGTAAAGGGTATATCCAAAGGAATTCAAAGTAGGATCTTGAAGACCATATTTGCACACCCATGTTCACTGTAGTATATTTCACAACAGTCAAGAAAATGGAAGCAACCCAAATTGTCCATCAATGAATGAATGGATAAATGGATAAAACAAAATGCTATATATATACACAATGGAATTTTATTCAGCCTTTTAAAAAAAAGGAAATCATCACATTACAATATGAATAAACGTTGACGAAAGTCACAAAAAGACAGATAATGTATGATTCCACTCATACTAAGTTTCTAAAGTAGTCAAAATAGTAACAAAGTATTTAGAATAGTGGTTGCCAGGGGTTTCGGGGAGGACAAATGGGCAGCTGGTGTATGACCTCACTTATATGTGGAATCTAAAAAAGCTGAACTCATGGAAATAGAGAATAGAATGGCGGTTGCAAGAGGCTGGGGTGTGGGGAGATGGGAAATGTTAGTCAAGGGCACAAACTTCTAGCTATAAGATAAATTAAGTTCTGAGGATCTAATGTATAGCATGGTGACTATAGTTAACAATACTGAATTATATATTTAAAAGTTGCTAAGAGAGTAGATCATAAGTAGTCTCACCACACACACACAAAAAGATAATTATGGAGGTGATGGATGGTTAACTTTTGTGGGATAATCATTTAGCAATGTATGCATGTATCAGATCATCACATTGCACACCTTATACTTATACAATGTTATAATTCAATTATATTTCAATATAGTTGGAGGAGTGTAGTCCATAATCATGAACTAGAATAAAGTATTGATGGGTGGAGATGATAGATAGATAGATAAAGAAGAAAAAGATGGGAGGGAAGGAGAGAGGAAAGAAGGAAGGAACAGGGAAAGACAGCTGGTGTTCAGTGGGTATAGATTCAATTTTGCAGGATAAAAAGGTTCTAGAGATCAGCTGCACAATGTTTAGCATATTTAACTCTGTTGAACCATACACTTAAACTAAAAATAGTTTAAGTTGATAAATTTACATTTTATGTTTTTACCACAGTTTTTAAAAGTTTTTTTAAAAAAGAAATCAGGCTATGTATATAAAAAGCATAATATATTCATCTAATTTTCTAGGTGATTCAGTAATATAACATTTATTGTTTTTTACGTAGTGTCACACTCTCTGAAAAGTATAATTGCAAGCAAGTGGTCTTGTCTCATCTCTCTTTTACCTCTTTGTACGAACAAATAGTACTGATTATTCCTATTTTTTAAAAAACCTCACCTGTTGACTTCTCTCACACAATTTTACTCGTTCTACCTCTCTGCTATTTCCCTTTCAGCCAGCTTGGGTTGTTTTCCATCACCTGCTCCTTAAATATTGTATCTTCTACAATCTGTCCTCATTCCTCTTCTTTCTCTCTCTAACTTGCCCTGTATAGCTCATGGTTTCAGTAATTATCTCAGGGCAAATGACTTACAAATCTTCATCACCAATTCTGACTTCTTTCCCAAACTTGAGTAAAATATTTTCAAAAACCTACATATCTATATAAGGTCTGTCCAGAAAGAGTCAAACCATTGTTAACATAATGAGAACAATTTGCACAACATTGATGTAACCTGGCAGCCAAGGAGTGCGTTGGAATGTGTATGTGTGAACAGTGGCGACTTCACTGTACTCATCAGTGGGGGCAGTAGATGCCATTGAGTGAGCATGTGTACTGTGTGGCTATCGCATTCAAAATGACTGAGTGAGTAGAGCAACAAATCCGCATCAAATTTTGCATTAAGCTTGAACATTCCTCCACAGAAACTATTTGCATGATTCAGAAGGCCACAGCAATGGACAACTGGTGACTAGCAACTTCATCACTATAATGCGCCTGCTCAGGTATCACATCTCATGCAGAGATTTTGGCAAAACATCAAATCACACAGGTGACTCAGACTCATACAGCCCAGATTTGGTGCCCTGTAACTTCTGGCTTCTCCTAAAACCATAATCACCTTTGAAAGGGAAAAGATTTCAGGCCATTGATGAGATTCAGGAAAATAAGATGGGACAGCTGATGGCAACTGGGATAACTGTGTGAGGTTCCAAGGTGCCTACTATGAAGTAGACTGAGGTGTCATTGTCCTGTGTATAATGTATATCTTCTTCAATAAATGTCTCTATTTTTCATAGTACATCGCTGGATATTTTCTGGACAGAACTTGTTAAAAAAGAAAAATATATACATATATATGGCTATCCTCTAGGTAACTATATAGAATTAGTTTTCAAGTCTAGTGCATTCTATCACTGTAAAATCTCTCCAATCTGTACCTTGCTCTACTTTTAAAGTAGATAAGATCATTACCTAATTCATTCATTCATCAAACATTTTTTGAAATCTAAATACCTAATATTGTACCAGGAACTAGAAATACAAAAATTCATAGCATAACTTCTGCTCTGAAAAGGGGCACCTTAATTTATATGTACCTAAGTCATCATAGTTGCTAGCATCATCACAAACCATTGCAGAGGACGAGGTTATACATATGTTTGCTTTGCCCCCCAAAATTTTCGTGCACCTGATATGAGCCACTTCCAAACAGAGGTCTATCCTAATTTAAATGTATTTGATAGACAAATTCCCTAGTATGATAAAAGTGCCTAAAAATGTGGCCCCTACTTACTTCTTCAATTTCATCATCCAAACTGTACCCACAAAGCTAGTGATCTCAAATTTATTCTAAAGATGTTGTTAAGTGCTATTCAAGGAAAAACAAAGAGAAGGTTTTGGTCAAATGAGACTGGAAAATGCTCTTTGAAACAAGGTTAAACAGAAAAACTTACTGAAATTGGTGAATTTTTGTGTAGCCATTTTAATATTGAAGATGGAAGAAAATAAGCAACAGTTTTGGTATATTATACTTTGTTTCAAGAAAAGTAAAAACAACTGAAACACAAAAAAATATTTGTGCAGTGTATGGAGAAGGTGCTGTGACTGATCAAACATGCCAAGTTATTTATGAAGTTTCATTCTGCAGATTTCTCACTGGACGTTGCTCCATGGTCAGGTAAACCAGTTGAAGTAGATAGCAATCGAATCAAAACAATTGAGAATAATCAATGTTAGACCACACAGGAGACAGCCATCATACTCAAAACATTCGAATCCATAAAGTTGTCAGTGAAAATGAAAAACATGCCATTTACAGAAAAAATTAAATGAACTTTTTGGCCAACCCAATAATTTGGATACCTTTCCTTTGTGCTTTCATAATGTCCTAGCACAGCCGTTCTCAACCAAGGTTGATTTTGTGCCCCAGGTGACATACAACAATGACTACAGACATTTTTTTTTTAGAATAGAGAGCTCTTTGTTATGGGGGGCTGTCCAGTACATTGTAGGATGTTTATCACCATCCACGGACTCTGCTCACTAGATGCCAGGAGCACCACTGCTTTCCAAGTCCTGCCCATTGTACAATGAAAAATGTCTCCAGATTAGCAAATGTTCCCTGGGGAAGGAAAGCACCACTGATCTGGAGCACGCTTGTAAAATAAATTAATAAGTTAATGAATTAATTTTTAATGTAATATTGAAAGCAAAAAAGTCTATCCAAAGACTAAGAAAGAAAGAATGATTTACCTTTTCTGCTAATTCTTCTGCTGTCATCTTTGGGTCATATGGAATGGGATCACCTAAAAAGGTCCGTAACTTCACTGGAAAACCTCCATACATTGGAGCAAATGGATAGCGGAATTTTTCATAAAGCCACCTAAATAACCCTGTTTTAAAGTAAACAAAATCATTTAATTGGCTACATATTCTGAGCATGTTTAACTATAAACGCTCAAATTAATTATTAAGGTTTAGAGGAAGGTGGCAAACAATATCACCTTGGGTAATTTTTTTTTTAAAGATGAGCTTTTCATCAGTTGTGATAAATGTGCAAAATGTTAACAGAAGAAACTGGAGGGTAATGAGGGGATATATGGGTACTCTCTGTAACTTTTGTCCAATTTTTCTGTAAACCTAAAAATTCTCCAAAAAAGGGCCTATTAATTTGTTTTACAAATTAGCTTTTAAAAGTAAGAGAATTTTAAAGGCAAACAAAGTAGTATTATTGCAAAATAAAGGGTAAAGACTGAAACCAGAAACTAGAAGCTAAAAAGTCTAAAGATTCAAAGATACATAATTTAGCCCTGGTCAGGTGGCTCAGTTCATTAGAAGTTGGTTGGAGCAATGTCCCATACACCAAAAGGTTGCAGGTTTGATTCCCAATCAGGGCACATAGGTTGTGGGTTCAGTTCCCAGCTGGGGCATGTACAAGAGGCAACTAATCAACGTTTTTCTCACATGGATGTTTCTTTCTCTCTCTCTCTCTCTCCCCCTCCCCCCATGCCTCTCTCTCTAAAATCAATAAACATATCCTCAGGTGAGGATTTCAAAAAACCTATTAAAAAAAACTAAACATGCTTTTGAAAAATATATGTGATTTACAAGAATAAAAAAGGAAAAAATGGAAGCATAAAATAAATTCAGAAACATGAGACCAAAATGCATTCATAAAACTAGGTTAAAACTAAAACATTGGTGTAAACTAGGATAAACATAACCAAGCAAAGAATTACTAATGGTAATGGCCAAGTATATAATTTAGCAACATTAAAAGTAGTAATAATGCAAAATAGACAGATAGACTTTAAAACTAAGTTAAAAAAATAAACCTGAGAAAGGCAAGTAACATGGAATATATAATCATGCATTGTACTGTAAATTTAAAACACTGTTTATATATGGAAACACAGAAAACTGTAAGACCCAAAGTAAAACTAAAACCAAAAAATCACTAGGCACTAATTTTTGACATATTCAACTACTAAAGTAAAAAAAAAAAAAAAAAATTTAAAGCAGCATAAAAGGATTTTGAAACCACTCTGCAATTAAAGAAGCAAAATTAGGAATAATTTCTGGTATGTAATTTAACTTCTGAAGAATGACCTGTGAGAAAATTAAAAGAAAAAAATTCCACAACAAAAGTTAACATCCCATCAACCTGTCTTTCCACTTTAAACTTGAAAAAACAAAAGAAAAAAAAGACCTATAAAACATAATGGAATATCAACAATACAGCAATGTTGGACATAAAAGAAACAGAAGTTTAAAGTTCTTCAGGAGGGGATTTGTATAAGGATAGAAACACTAACAATATAATGTTAGGGATATAAAATACAGCCAACCAAATGTAATGTATAAAGTATAGGGTAAAAAAATAAAACTGAAAATTTCAAAAGAGAAAGAAAACAGAGACATTGCAAAGAAAAAGCACCCCATAATTAGATTTAGAGCTTATACTATTACCACTAAATTAAAGGTCAGCAAAAAGAAGTGTATCATGGTTAAAAAATTTTGAAAACAAACAAATAAAAAACTAACAAACCCCCAAGAAATAAAACCAAGGCAACTTATATTTCCTTAGGTATTCATCTTAATTCAGTATCATATTGTCATCCATTTTTAAAGCTGTAACTTCTTCAGGGGTGAGCTAAGAAGATGGTTTGGGTTATATGTAAATCTGTTCTAACCTTTGACAACAAGTTTTAATACAAGTAAATTACATAATTTACTCTGTAATTTTAAAAAGTCCATGACAAACAAGCTTCAGTGTGTTTATGAGACAAAAACCTAACATCTAAGGACTGTCATTACTTACAACCAGTTATCGTTTAGCCTTTAAATAGAAAAAATCTACATTTTGAACCCATATAAGGTTCAAATATTTAAAGCCCAAATATGTAAAATATTACATTATAAAAATAAAAAACAAGCCAAAAAATATTGTATTATAAACATTACATTATAATTAGAAAAACCATATGAACCAGAACTTACTTGTTCCTCCAAGTGATCTAAATCCTTCTCGAATATTTTGTGTAAACATAGGAATAATGGGCTAAAGGAGAAAATTTGAATTAAAAAGTAAATATATTAATCCATTCAATGTCTCTATTGAGTCACTAATGTAAACTTTTGAGGATCTGTTTAAGATTATGAAAATAAAGTACTTTTAAAATAAAGGTATACTTTTATCACTAGTGCGCTTAGACTAAACTTAGTCATTTGTAGAAATAATTTAATTAAATAAAATAAATGTGAAAAATTAAATTGATTTTAGTGGGTTACTGAATACTACGCTCACTGAAGAAAAAGTTACAAGACAGAGACTTTCACTACTGGGAAATTTATATAAATTTAAATGACAAGTTTTGGCAAGATGCTGTCACAAAATTAGTAAAACATCATTTATATTTGTGAGCTTATTAAATCTAAAAATGTTCAACATCAATAAAAAGCATAAGACTCTCCACAAAAAGAGGAAAAGCATATATATAAAAGAATTCTTCACATCATTAATTTTAGAGGATTTCTTCTTACAAGTTTATGCTTTTCATTTTTCTATGAATATCAATAATTCAGTATAGTTTTAAAAATGAAGACCTTAACTAAATGTCATAAAGCAATGCGTGAAGTAACAAAGGATCATGTGAGGAAGTTAGGCCACAGTAAAATGGAAGTAGATAAAAAATTGAACACTTTAAAACTTACACAAAATATATCAAGCTAACTGGTTTTAGAATAGATTAAACTGGTGGAGGCAGCAACTGTCACTTGACTTACAGTCTATATTTGCTTAATACAGAAATACCTGTCTTGGTGAGCAGGGTTTGAGATATTTAAATAAGCTGACATTTAAAAAGCCATTCTTATTCAGCTTTGGAAAACAGTAAAATAAGGTGGACTGAAGGAAGAGGCTATAGGTATACTTTTCTTTGTAAAACTTACTACCTCACATATAACTAGCTGATCTTTTATTTATTGTATTTTCCCCTCCCTGAGAAGGACTCTGAATAGCACAGACATTGTTTTGTTCACTGCTCTATCCCCAGCATCTAGAACATCGCCTGGAATAGACTGGTGCTAAAAGGAAGTGTGATGGATGAATTAAGGAAGGGATAAATAAACAGAACAGAGAGACAATGCTTCTAATGTACTAATCCATTCTCTGAATACAAAAGATCAGGTACAGGCGGCAGTAATCCTAAAACCAGTTAGCAAAAATATAAGTCCTGTAAAGAAAAGAGGTCAGGATGTAGAGAAAGGGAACTCTTTTGCACTGTCGGGAGGAAGGCAACATTGTGGAAAGCAGAATGGGGATGGCCCAAAAAATTAAAAATGGGCCTGCCTGTTGACTCACCAATCTCACTTCTGGGAATATATCCAAAGGAACCCAAAACACTAATTTGAAAAAACATAAGCACCCTTATGTTCATTGCAGCATTATTTACAATTACTAAATTATAGAAGCAGCCCAAGTGTCCATCAATAGATGAGTGGATAAAACACTATGGGGCATTTACACAATAGAATACAAGTTGGCCAGAAAAAATGAAGAAAAGTTTACCCTTTTCAACAGTGCAGGTGGACCTGGAGAACATTATGCTAAGTGAAATAAGCCAGTCGGAGAAAAACAAATACCATACAATTGCACTCATATGTGGAATCTAATGAACAAACTGAGCAAACAAGGAAAATAGGGACAGACTCATAGAGAGCAGGATGACAGCCAGGGGGGTAGCAGAGAAATTGAGCAAAAAGGAAAAAGGACTTGTGGACACAGACAACAGTGTAGTGACTACAGAGGGGAGGGGCGTATAAGGAAACTAAACAGTAATGGAAAAAATACAATAAAGATTAAATAAAAAAGGAAAGAAAAGAAGTCAGATGAAGGATTTAAAATGCAGTGGAATTAATTTGCAAAACAAGAATGTAAGACAAAATACACTGGCGCTTTTATAAAAAATTCAGATTTCAATCTAGGAAACCACCACTAATTTTGTGAAATAAAATAACTGAAAACTTAATGTTTTAAGTAGTTATGACTCTAGAATTAAGAACTTAAAATGCTTAAGGAACAGCAACCTTTCAGCTCATACGTATGCCATTTTGACTTCTCTAACCAGTTCGGCTAGATTTATGTCTCCTGACTCACATGAACCCCAAAGTTTGTATTGAAGTATGCACTATTTAAACACTCTTCAGGGTACATATCATCCTTTAAATAGCTAATTCTTCAGAAGCTGGACATTTCTAGAACCTACTAAACAGAAGAAAGCTTACCCTAGCAGACTCAGTAGTCTAGGCTATATTTTGGGCACATTTTTCCTGAATGTGTATTCAAGCGATAACCTTAAAACTACAAACATTACCTTACTACAACTTGATGTTGTAGTACAGTTGTTCATTCCTTTCCGTGTGCATACTTTGTATACAAGATAGTTGCATAAGTAACCTAGCATCATCACATTCTGCTTACATGTACATATGTGTCTCCTTATGTATGCATATGCACACATGTACAAAAGAATATGTATTTCATTAAAACTATTCTTGGAAAATCAGCTTATCATGGTCTTGGAGTCTTAACTTTGCCACTAAAAAAAGTAGGAACCACTGGAAAAGTTACTTACCATGTCTCCGTCTCAGTTTCTTCACATTAAAATGGGGCTAATAATTATCATATCCCAAAGGTTTTTTTAAAAATAGGTTGAAATAATACATATAAAAACTTTATTGGAACAGGAGAGAAAAGATGGCGGAGGAGTGAAAGGGAGTCACACTGACCTCCTCTCAAAACCAAACTGGAATTGCAACTAAATAATGGAGTAATCACCTGGAAAGCAGTGGAGCGATAGTGGGAGAGGAGCCTTGGTGCCGCGGACAGCGGATTCGACTCTCACACATCCCAACGGGTGAGAATTGCGGTGGAGGCTCGAGAGGGTGGGCTGGGTGCGCACGGGCACTGGCACCAGAGGGACATTGAAACAGCCAGTTAGCGTCCCCCCGGGAAGAACGGGGTCTGAATCATAAACAGGAACCCCTAAACTACAGCCGCTAAAGCCGAGAAAATACAGACAAAACGCAACCCCAAAAAGCTTAGGGGCACTCTCTGCCAGAGACAAGTGGCTGGGGATGCAAAAAGACATTTAAAGGGCAAACGCAAAAGTTGCAGCGGCAGCCACCCTCCTTGATCGCTGGGTACAGGCGGCAGCAGGGTGGGATGGTGCCTGGGAAAAGACTGGTGAGGAAAACTTTGTGAAGAGAACTGACTCTGCGGCCGGTGGAGCCCGGGTGATAACGCACTTCCCACTCTGCAGCTACCATCTCGCTCAGGCATAAGGGAATCAATTAACCTGCCTTTTGTGCGCTCCGCACACAGCTTGTGCGCCTGTGACCTGCGGGGCTGAGTGCAGACTGTCTGGGAGAGCCTTGAGGAGAGACTGGAGACAGTGGCGTTGGGGAAAGAACGGGAGGAGGAACTGGGGAGTCCCGACTCCCTCCCCGTTCGGTAGTCTCCATTGTGGGCTGGAAAGGCGCGACCCCAAAGAGGCAGAAGCGGGGCGCGCATGAACCAGACTGCCTGCGATTGAAACGCAGTCCGCACAGGGGTTGGATCCTCAGCCGAAGGGGTCACAGAACTGCCCAGAGGCCCCTGAGGGGAGACTAGAAACGGAGGCATTGGGGAAAGAACGGGAGGAGGAACCGGGGAGTCCTGACTCCTTCTCCTTGCCGAAGTCTCCATTGCGCGGGAAGAGGCCACACCCCCAAAGAGCCAAAAGCCGAAAAGCAAACATAGACACCCCCAAAACACCCAGAGCAGGCGCGCACACTTGCGCCGAGTGACTGGCGAGGGGTGGCGAGCGTGTGTGTGACCCACCCGGGCTGGCAAACGCTTGCACCTGCCGGCAAGGCCTCACACAGACTGGCACCCATACGGCCTGCAAGGGATTGCACAGAGGGGCAAGGGCAGGCGTAAATTGACCCGCCCGCCGCGATTGCAGAGCGGCCCACAAAATAAGTAGAGCTGCCCAGAGTCCCTGGAGGAGAGACCAGAAACAGGATTAACCGGAGAGCTGATTTCCTCCCATTTCCGTAGTCCCCATTTGGCGAGGGCAAGCAACGCACCCAAAGAGCCAAAAGCGGGGAAAACACACAATAGAAGACTCTAAACTGACCAGTGCCGCGAAGCTCGCGTGCCAGGGAGGTCAGATGAGCACGGGAGGTCGCGAATAAGCCCTCCGGTCTGGGGCAAACACATGCGAGCCCAGGCAGGTGGGGGACCCTGCCGCGCTGGGAAACGCGCTCAAGGAGCTCTCGTGAGAGCGCAGAGAGATCCCAAAAAATAGCCCAGCCCTGACCGAAGGGGTCACAGAGCTGTTCCAAGCAGGAGTCAGACACAGGCATTAGACTCCTGAAAGGTTCAAACAAACAACCCAAGGCCCTATAGGGTCAACAACTGACATCATCAGAGGCAAGCCCAGAAAGAAAAGTAAAGGACAAAAATACTTAACAGACTCTCACAAAAATGGGAAGAAAAAGAAGTTCCCCCCCAAATGAGTGGAAAAGGGGACTCCCCACAGAGAGAGCTCAATGAAATAGAGGCAAGGGAACTATCAGATATGGAATTTAAAACAATGGTTCTAAGGAAGCTCAATGAGCTCAGCCAGCTCAAAGAGAACTATGAGAAACTGCAGAGAAACTATCAGGATCTTACAGCAAACTATATCAGCCTGGAAAAGGACATAGAAACTATCAAGAAGACACAAGAGGATATGAAGAATACCATTTCTGAATTGAAGAACACCGTAGAAGGAATCCAAAGCAGGCTGGATGAAGCTGAGGATCGAATCAGTGAGATGGAGGATAAGGTAGAAAAAAGCTCCCAGAAAGAGCAAGAAATGGAAAAACGGCTCAAAAAGAATGAAGAAGCATTTAGGGAAATGCAGGACAACCTGAAACGCAATAATATCCGTATAATAGGGATACCAGAAGGAGAAGAAGAGGAGCAAGGGATAGAGAACCTCCTCGAAAAAGTAATGATGGAAAATTTCCCTA